CTCTGTTCCCTTGACCCACAGAAGTGCAGGCCCATGGGGGACGATCATCCTGCTGGGGGCGGGGGGCAGCTGTGCTGTGATCTGCGTGGCTCACGTGGCTCCGGGCCGCCCACACGTGCAGAAGGCCCAGCCAACTGTCCTGCGGCAGCACCTGCTGTGGTCAGCGCCCAGGGCTTCGAGTGTGGACCACGTGGAGGGCGGTGGCGCCTGGACGCAGCCCCTGTTCAGCAGGCAGGGGAGCGTGGCCTTGGCCTCTGCCAGACTGGGCCCCCAGCAGCTCTCTGCCCTCAGGGTTGGCGGGAGCCGGCCCAGAACCCCTGGAGCAGGGGCGGCGTGAGGCGCTGGCGGTGGGCGCTGGGCACTCCCTCCCTCCCACGCACCCTGTGGTCAGGCCACTCAACCAGACCAGATCCTCGAGAAACCCCCTGCCCGCTCCGACACGGGGAGAAACAGCCACAGGGTCCCGGCACTGTCAGCAAGCTTCCTTTTGCTGCTTTTTTAGACTTTTATTTTTGGTTCCTTTTTAAAGAAACTGCGTGCATCACCAGTGATGGTTTAAACCCCACCCGCGTCTGTGCAGCACCGGGGCCGCAGCCACCGCTGAGTCCGGGACTGGCCATCACCTCAAAACTGCCTTTGAAGCCAGCCCGCCAGGACACTGGCAGCCGAGCGGGCCCGCCCCGAGCTCCCCCAGCCACCAGGGGTCCCGGTGCAGCCCCCCCCCTCTCCCCAGCTCCACATGAATGGCTCCCTTCTGCCCACCGAGGAATCTGAGGGACAGAGGGGCAGCAGCCAGACAGGGAGCAGGGATGCGGGAGGGGCAGCCAGGCTGGAGGTGGAGAGGGGCAGCCAGGCTGGGGGAGGGGAGGGGCAGCCGGACTGGGGGGAGGTGTCTGGGGGCGAGAAGCTGGGACTCAGGCACAGACCACAGCTCAGGAAACAGCCCCCCTCACCTAATTCATGACCCCTCCCTGCAGACCCAATCCCAGGTGTGGCCAAATCCAGCTGAGCTCAGTGTGGCACTGTCCTCCCGGACCCGGGGGACACGGCTGTCCTCTCTGGCCTGCACAGAGGGCCACCTGCTCTCCGTGCACACAAACACTGAGTCACATGCACACTACACCCAGGACAGTGCAAGCGTGCACAAAATGTAGGTACAGGTACACGCACGTGTGTGCACACACATGTATGCACAGATGACACCGCAGTGCAAACACACAGGCACAGGTGCACACAGACACATGCACACACCACACTCTCACCATACAACACACAGACATATACACACACCACACTCTCACCATACAACACACAGACACATGCACACACCACACTCACCATACAACACACAGACTTAAACACACACCACACTCTCACCATACAACACACAGACATATACACACACCACACTCACCATACAACACACAGACACATACACACACCACACTCACCATACAACACACAGACACATACACACACCACACTCACCATACAACACACACACATATACACACCACACTCACCATACAACACACAGACACATACACACACCACACTCTCACCATACAACACACAGACATATACACACACCACACTCACCATACAACACACAGACACATACACACACCACACTCACCATACAACACACAGGCACAGGTGCACAGCTTCCCCACACAGGACACGTGTATGCACGCCCTCCACACACACTTGCAGGGGTGTCCGGGACGAGAGCACATAGATCGCCCAGATTTGCTCTTGCCTGGTGTCCAGCTGTCCTGAGGCTGGTCAGCGGCGGCCACTCAGTTCTCCCCGGGCCAGCCGGCCGTCCCCGAGCCGGGGCAGTGGCGGGGCCTGCGATCGGCAGCTGCAGGTGGCGCCTTTGCAGGAGCGTGGCCGTGGCTGGGGACCCGGCCGCCCAGCAGGATGGGCGCGGTGCAGAATCTCCTGTTGTTCCCACAGCTGCTGCAGAGGAGGGAGGGGGGTGAGCAGCTGGGGAACAGGGAGCACCAGGGGCAGGGCTTGGGGCGCAGCCCCTGCAGGGCGGGGCACGCAGCCCCCGCGGGCCGGCCCTGCTGCCCGCCGAGGGTTTGGTTGCTTTGAGACCCAGGTTCCTCAGCGGAGGAGTAAACGGCTCTCCGCCAGCTGCGACGCTCCCAGCGCCGCGCACCCTCCACCCTGGGGCCCCAGGACCAGCTCGTCCAGGTCTGCAGCCACAGCCTGGTCACCACTGTCCCTCCGATGGTCGCTCCAGCCCCTGGGACAGCCACAGAGTGCCCAGAGGGCCTCGGGCGGGTTCGGGGGTTGTCGTGGCTCTGCCCACACCACGGGGACGTGCAGGCGGTCACCTTGCTCTTGGGGTGCTGCGGCTCCCGTGCTGTCCACGGCCAGGAAGCAGGAAGCCCCACGGGGGCAGGGCCACAGCTCTGGATGCCCGAGCTCAGGGAGGCTTCGGAGGACGCTTGGTGGCTGCCCAGAGCCTCTGGGCCCCATCTGTGGAGGCCTTGCTGGGACAGCTACGGCCGTCCGTGTGCAGCTGGGGAGCGGCCTCACTCAGGTAAGGCTGGTGTTGTCCGGGCAACGCAGGTGCCACTGCACAAGCACCCTCCCCTCACACAACCTCCAGGATAACTCCGCCCCCCCCCAGCCACCCAGAGCGGGTTTTCTATGTCCCTGAGGCTGCACGGCGTCTGCCAGCAGAAGCAGGGACCCGGGCGTTGCTCCTGTGTGCACACGCGGTCACCCCGGCTGCAGAACACAGCCCTCCGGGGATGGAGCCTGCGCCGAGGTCCCCAGTTCGGAGAGGCAGTTGCTGCAGAAATGAGTTAATACGTCGCAAATCCCTCCCCCCACCCCCATCTCCATCCCTTCGAATGGGGTGCACAGAGCGATTAAAGACGAGAGATGTATCACAAACAAATTCACATTATCAAATTGCTGTAATCGCCCTGCGCTGGATTAACCGGGGCTCAGGGCCACCGCTGGGCGGCTGCCGCGGAGTTCCATGGGCCGGCAGGAGATGTGTGCATGTCGCCCGCCCTTTGAGGAAGGCTTTGCCCTCGAGGGGCCTCCTGGGCCACAGTCCCCAGCTGGACACAGGTCTGGTGAAGCCAGCTCTGGGCCCAGTGCCCAGCAGCTTCCCTGGGAGGCAGACGGCACTTCCTCAGGGCTTCTGGTCACCGGAGACACGGTCCCAACCTTGGGATGGGGTGTGCCGCGCGAGCAGGGGGAAGCCAACAGCTGCAGAGGGCCCACCACGTGCTCGTGTGGCCTAGCAGGAGGAAGCCAGGTGGGGCAGGCCCAGGGCGCGGGCCCAGCCCTGGGGGGCTCCATCAGCCGTCCTGCCTGGGACTGGAAGCCAGGGAGTTTCCGGGCTGGGTGCAAAGTGTCTTGGGCACCACGGTGGCCACCGTGCCTGGCCAGATAGACCGGCAAACCCGCTTCACGCTGTTCGGTTTTGTGCAGGCCAGGTAGGCAGGCGCGGGTGCCAGGGCGACAGCAAAGAGGAAGCCAGGAAGGAGGACAGGGAGGCCGAGTCCCCACTTTTGTCTCTGCTCTGTGCCACTCCCTGTCCCGCCCTCGAGCTGGGGGAGCCCTGGGGAGAGCCGGCGGCCACAGCCAGCAGAAGTGAGTGGAGACGGAGACGGTGTGGGACCTTGGTCTCTGACCCCTGCAGGGGACTCCTGGGAGCCAGCAGGCTCTGCAGAGAAGCCCCTTCCCACCGAGCGGCGGGGGCAGGGTCTGTGAGCTGCTCCAGCGGCAGCCTGCCCCTTGCCTGTTCAACAGCGGAGGCGACCCTGGCCCCACAGGGGTGAGGGAGACCCAAGGCCACCTCCCAGGATCCCCCTTCAAGCCTGCTGCCCCCTGTGCTTGGGTGTGGTTGGCCAATGTGAGGCTGGACCACTTGTGGAGCCAGCAGGCACGTGGCTACCACCCCGCCGATGGAGGCTGTCGGCCTCGGCTGCACCGAGACAGAGCGGGGAGCCCGGCCTGGGAGAGGAGCAAGTGCGAGCAGCCTCTGGGACTCCCGGGGCGGCGGGCGTCTCCTGGGAACCCACCGAGGGCCCTTGGGGGTGTTTTCTGCAGCGGCCTGGACGCGACCTGGACGGAGCCGGGCCGTGCGCAGGGCCCGTGTGGGTTCTGCAGCCTTGGAACCAGCAAGGGTGCAAGGTCGCATCCACGTCGTGAAGTCGGCTGATGCTGAGACGCCGCCGCCTGGGGCTGCCGGGACAAATACGAGCTAACACTGAAAACCGACTTCACCTGCTTTTATTCAGCGTCTACGAGGCCGCTAGGGAAGTTGAAAGGTAAGCCCCCTCTCCTGTCGGCACGGCGAACGCTGGCCCACAGGGCGGGGGTGTCCCCACAGCCCAGAGGCTGCCTTGCACGCAGCACGGCCTGCACATCCAGGCCCGGGGGGAAAGGGCGGGGAGCGGGTCCAGTGGGCAGCCTCATCCCAGCTGCCTCAAAGCCCTCTCCCGTTTAGCTCTCTCCCTGGTGTTGCCGAAACGCTGGCTCCCAGCGGCTTGGTGGATGCGTGGTGACGACGGGCTCTGTGGGCACCTGCAGGAGCACCCAGCCATGGTGCAGAGGCAGCCAGGCCCCCAGGCGCTTGCAGTCGGCACACCGGCACGAGGGGGGGGGTGTCTCCGAGCAGGAAGCCGGCGGCGTAGACCCGAGCCACGGCACGGACCGACCTCACGGCTCTCCACAAGCAGATGCCGCGGGGTTGCACAGCCAGCGGCTCTAGGAGGGGCCAGCTGCTGGGAACACACTCCGCCCCAGCCAAGGGCACACAGGACAGCGGGCAAACAGCTCTGCGTGTGGGTGCGTCGGGGAAGAGGTTCTGCGGAGGGGGCGGCTTCTTGCCACACAGGGAGGGGACAGCCTCCGCCCCTCAGCTTCCTCCGCCGAGCCGTGAGCTCCCAGAGCCCGGGTCTGGTGTAGAAGCGGGCGGGGGAGGCGACACTGAAGCTGTGAATCAGTCACAAATGCACACTATGGAATTCGCTATTGAGATTTAATTGTATCACTTTTGAAAAATAAGTTGAAAGCCAGTGCTTTCTTCCGAATATAAATGCGCCAAACACTCGGGATTCGAGGAGAAGTGACGACCGAGCTGCTAGTTTGATAAGCAGCTTGCAGAACTGAACCCAGCTCCCTGCCCCTGCCCCGCCTCAGCCACCGGGGCCGCAGGTGCAGACGCCGCCTGGAGAAAGCAGAGCCACACCGGGCGAGGTCGTCCCGGGCAGGTTCACCCCGGGGCAGGTTCACCGCGCTTCAAAAGGGCTCTGAGCCGCCCTCACGCACACGAAGCGCTCTGGCCCCTGCGGCCGCATTAGCGCAGCAGAGCTCCGGTTCCTGGAGCTTCGGCTCAAGCCCCGGACAGCTCCTCCCGGGCCACGGAGGCGGGCCCGGCTGCGCCAAGCGACAGATCCCACACCGACCCTAGAGGAGACGCCGCCACCGCCGGTACTCACCATGGCCCGGCCTCCTTCCCAGAAATGCGGGGCGGTTGGTGGGAGGGGGCTTTCTGTGGTCCCTGGACTGGACCTGGCCCTCCGCGGACCCTCCAGGGCCAAGCGGGCGCGGGGCACAGGACCCTCGTGCATGGCCCCTCAGGAGGAGGACGCGCCAAGCGGGGTCCCCGCAGCTCCAGGTAGGGGAGTCCGGGCGGATTAGGGGGAAGTCCCGCAGGCTTCAGGACGCAAATGCAGGCTTGGAAAAGCCCGAGGCGCTCCCCCTCCCGCGTCTCCCGCATCCTGCGCAGCTCCTTCCCGGGATCGGGTCCGGCGCACCGCGGCCACGCAGGTGTCTGGCGACGCGGGCCGTGCTCTGTGCCCGCTCAGTCCGCGCGCCCCACGCCGTCGTTAGACCGGGCCACCCTCCGGGTCTTCTCCTGGGCGGTGGGCGGCGGTGCCCCAAGGCGCACGTTGAACCTCTCGCCGCCCGCAACGTTTCCCCCCTCCCCGCAACGCCCAGCGGATATGGGGAGGGGTGCCCAGCGGCCGCGAGTTCCCGGGCGCGGATTCCGGAGCCCGGAGCTCCGGCTGCGTCCAGTGTGCCTGGGCGGGCCGCTCGCTCCCCGCCGCCCCTAATCGTCGGTCGCGCAGCTGTTGGAAGCGAGGTCGGCGGCCACCTCCGGGCCTGGGTGCGGCGACGGCCACCGGGGAAGCGCAAACGCGAGGGCGGGCACGCCGGCGCCGTCACGGCTTCTGGGCGCAGTGTTTGCAGAGCGCCGAGGGCGCCCCGGAGAAAGCGGAGCACTTGTCCGGGCAGGGCCCCAGCGCGGCGCCCGCCGAGAACGGGTACACGGCGGCGGCCTGGCCGAAGGGCGCCAGGGGCGCCGCGGCGACGGGCGCGGCCAGGCCCTGGCCCTGGTTGAGGTAGGCCACCAGGCGCCGCATCTCGTCCAGCGCCTGCGCCTGCATGAGGATGTAGTTCTTGGCCAGCAGCAGCGTGGCGATCTTGGACAGCTTGCGCACCGACGGGCTGTGCGCGTAGGGGATCACGGCCCGCAGCCCGTCCAGCGCGTCGTTGAGGTCGTGCATGCGGCGCCGCTCGCGCGCGTTGATGCTGAGCCGCAGCGAGCGCTGCTCCCGGGGCCGCCGCCGCGCGTCCGCCGCGCCCCCGGGCCCGCGCCGCCGCCGCCGCCGCTCGAAGGCGTCGTCGTCGCCGCTCTGCTCGCCGCTGCTCTCGGCCGGGGCGCGCGGCGCGGGCGCCGCGGGGAGGTCGCCGCCCGGGCCCGGCGCGCAGTAGCCGCGGGCCGCCTCGGGCCCCCGGGCCGCCCCGTAGGCCAGGCCCGCCGCCGTGTAGCCGTGGCTCAGCGCCAGGTACGCGTCCCCCGACAGCGATTTGAGTTCGGCCATGGCCCCGCTCTGCGGGCGCGTCCCGCGCTCTGCCGGTCCCGGAGCCTCAGCGCCGGCCTCGCGTCCTCCCCTCCCCGCCGCGGCGCCAGGGCCCGGCCCGGGGGCGGGCTTTAGCTCCCCTCCGCCCCCGCTTCGCGTTTAAGCCGCGGAGGCGCCCCCTGGGACCTCGCGGCCGCCCAATCAGAGGGGCGCTGGCCACGGCCTCTGCCCCGAGCGCGCGGATCGAGCGGCCTCGCGGGCTCCTCGCCTGCCTCGCCGCGTCCCCCGGGGCCGCCGCCTCAAAACGCTCGCGTCCCCAGGGCGCTCCCGCGGCGCTCGGCCTGGTCCCCGCCAGCCCGGAGCGGGAAGCAAACAGCACACCCGGGACGCCGCGGACGCTGCGGGCGCGCAGCGCGGGACAGGTGTGTGCTCAGTGGGGTGATTGGAGGTGGGGCTGGGGCTGCGGGATCCAGCTCTTTGTAATTTCGGTGAAAGGGCCGCCCGCCCCGGCGCCTCCCCAGGCCTCCTCTTGGGGAGCAGGGATCTGTGGCTCGGGGTGGGGCACACCTGGGGCTGGGAGACTGGGGTGGGTCCCCTACCCCTGGCTTGTGTCGCACCCCTGAACTCCCTGCAGGGGCCCCGCGCGGCCTCAGCCAGGTTCCTGGTGTGGATTTTGAGATCCATCCCCTCCTCCCACCCCTGCCCCTTGTGGAACACCACCCGGTGAGGGTGGGCGGAGTCCCTGGAGAGGGAGGCGGGGACTAGAGCCCAGCTGCCTGACAGGTGGAGCGAAGTGGGGGCTTCTCCCCGGGGGAGTGGAGGCTAGACCCCGCCTGAGACCCTGCTCTTTGTCACCCTGCTCCCAGAGTCCCCAGGGTGCCACCCCCCTCAGCCCTTCCTGGAGAGGCAGTGGGGTGGTGAGTGCGCACCGGGCATGGGCCACCCCTCTCAGAGTCAGGGGACAAAAGGGAGCTGGGGGCTTCCCCCAGAGGCGGCACCTCTACCCGCCCCCTGTGGGACCCTGGCACAGCCCCTCGGCCCCTCATCCTCCGGGTGCCCCCGGGAGAGGACAGCAGAGGGAGGGGACCTGTGTGGTGCTGCTTCTTTGTGCGAGGGTGAGCAGGTGTCTGGCGCACAGGTGTGGAGTGGGTGGATGAGCTGTGTGCGTTGGAAGGTTCTGGAAACCCAGCAGTGTCTGGCACCCAGGGAGTCCTGCAGGTGGGCAGTGCAGGGAGACGGGAGCTCGAGATCGGGCCTTGCTCCCGGCCTCAAGAGAAACGAGCCAGCCAGGAGGGCAGGGCCAGCGCGTGCAGGGCCCTGCTTGAGATGTGAGAGAGACAGCCTCCCGGTGCCTGCTGGGCTGCTGTGCGGGTGGGCAGTTGGTGGAGTGCTGGGTGTGGAGGCTGTGGCTGTTGGCCAGGTCTGCTGGGTGGGTGGGTGGCCGCTGGGCCAAGGGGCCAGGTGGGGGCTGTGGAGGGACAGCAGAGCCGGGTGGGGCCTGCAGGACCACTGGAGCCACGACAGGGCGGGGCCTTTACTGGAAGAGCAGGAGGCTGGGGAAGTGCTCCGATGCCCTGTGGGGGGGCGCTTCCCCCAGCTCTCCCTCCAGGGCAGGGCCTGGCTCTGGACTGGCTGGGTGCCTTCCGCCAGTTAGTCCACGACCTTGGAGGGGCAGAGGGCTGGGTGGGCCCGGGTGGGCGTCCCAGGGCGGGGCCTCCCTGATGCCGGCAGCTTTGGGCCCCCCTACAAGTCTTGAAGTGAAGCCCCGGCCAGCTGCAGGGAGAGGCGGCCTTTTTGGTCTGATGGCGCCCCCTGCTGGCTGCCTGGGAGATTGCGCCCAGCGGGCGTGGTGGAGGGACCAGGCTGGTGACCAGGCTGCCCCTGCGTTCTACTGAGGCGTGGTCACCGCGGGTGCCGTCCAGTGCGCACCTGGCCCCGGAGGTGTCTGCCCAGCCGGGCACTCGGCCTTTCTGGTCTGGTTACATCTGTCCGGTGGGGTTGGTCCTCACAGGACAGCCTGCAGGTGGCTCTGGGGTGGGCTTACCCAGAGAGAAAATAAACAACCGGCAGCCCCAAGCCCGCCCTCACGAATTCCCAAAGGCCGCTGCCCAGCCCTGGATGCCGCCGGCCCGGGTCACAAACGCTTCCTGTGCCATTTGTCTCAGCTCAGCAGGTGGGGCTTGGCCTCGCTCCGGCCCCCAGCTCTGAGGGCGCCTTGGCTTCCTCCGGGGTGTGTCCTGAGGGTGAAAGGTGAAAGGTCAAGCAGGGTGCCGGGATGTGGGTGGCTCCTTCTGGGGCGAGGTCTCAGGAGAGACCCCCACCAAGCCCCAGAGTGCAGCTCCTGGGGAAGGAGGGGGAGGCCAGGCCCAGGGCCCGCCCTTGTCCAGCCCTTGTCCAGGTCCTCACCGGAACACCCACCCCTCCCTGCCCGCTGCTCCAGGGGCTGGGGCGGGGCCTCGCGGCTGCCTTTGTGTTTCAGGTTTTGATTTTTAAAAAGATTTATTTGTTTATTTTGAAAAGTAGAGTTGGGGGCTTGCAGAGAGAGCGAGGTCTTCCATCCACTGGCTCACTCCCCAGATGGCTGCAAAGGCCGGGGCTGGGCCAGGCTGGAGCCGGGAGCCAGGAGCAGGGGCGCAGGGGCCCCAGCACTTGCCGTCCTCTGCTGCTCTCCCAGGTCGTTAACAAGGAGCTGCATCGGAAGCGGAGCAGCCGGGACTTGAGCCGTCCCCTCTGGATGCCGGCACTGCAGGCGGCGGCTTTGCCCGCTGTGCCCCGGCGCCGGCCCTGTCCTGCCTCTCTGGAGAGCACTTCCTGGCCGCCGGCCTCTCTCGCTCCTGCCGTGTTTCCTGCCGGCGTTCGGAGTCCGGTGACGCCGGTGTCACAGGAGCAGTCACAGCATGTCCCCTGCTCCGCCCCGGCGAGACCCGAGTGCGGTTTGCCGGGTGGGAGCTGCCGGAGCTCCCGTCTGGGAAGGTCACCGTCGAGGGCGCGGCCGGCCGCTGGGTTGTCTCCCGAGCACCCGGCTGTTTACCGCCGGTCCCCCAGCTGCGGGCAGCCCGGAGCTGATTTCCCGCCCTCGGGGTGTCCGGGGCCAGCGCCGCCTCAGCCGCGGGTACCGGGAACTGTCCCCTCCAGGGTTCGCTAGGGTCATTGATCTTCACAAAATCTGCTTTTAGCTTCGAGTTCACTTCTGTCTCAGTGCTGCGCTGATTTCTGCTACTTCTTCGTTCACGTTGTATCTGACACGTGTCGTAGCTCACACGCATCCTGACACATGTGTCGTGTCTCACACGTGTCGTAGCTCACACGCGTCGTAGCTCACACATGTCCTGTCACACGTGTCGTGTCTCACATGTGTCGTAGCTCACATGCGTCGTAGCTCACATGCATCCTATCACATATGTCGTGTCTCACATGTGTCATAGCTCACACATGTCCTGTCACACATGTTGTAGCTCACATGCATTGTATCTCACACATGTCGTATCTCACACGCATCGTAGCTCACACACGTCCTGTCACACGTGTCGTGTCTCGCATGTGTCGTAGCTCACATGCATCCTATCACACATGTCGTGTCTCACATGTGTCGTAGCTCACATGTGTCCTGTCACACGTGTCGTATCTCACACGTGTCATATCTCACATGCATCCTATCACACGTGTTGTAGCTCACATGCATTGTATCTCACACGCATCGTAGCTCACACGTGTCGTATCTCACACGCATCGTAGCTCACACGCGTGTCCTCGGCAGGTGCCGGGCACGAGCTCTCCTCTCTCACAGGCGAGGCCGGTGCTGCCCCTTCGTCTGTACCCCACACCTCTGAACCAGCTGCCTTTATGGTTTCATTAGTAAAAAATATTCCTCACTTCCATGGCTGCCCCTCACCCTTTCAAATCTGCTCCGCCCGTGTCCGCGAGCCCCACCGTGGCCGTCCGCTTTGCCCGTGGCCGTCCACTTTGCCCGTGGCCTCCCAGTGCTCTGGCTGCCGGCGACCGCTGATTCCTGGTCTCACTCCCGAGACGCCGTGGGCAGCAGGTCCCCAGACATGCAGGGCTGCACGTCAGAGGCCCCGAGGCTCGCGGGGGTGGGTGGGCCCCTCGTGCCGCCTCAGCGTCCACGCTGGACCTTCCGGGCGGCGCGAGGCTCCACGGCACCCTCGTTTGCTGAGGTTCCCCGTGGCTCGGCACCTGTGTGTGGGGAGGGCTGTGCCCGGGGCCCTCACCTGCAGAGGGCGGGGTCCCGTCCGCCTCTTCTCACCCCCGTCCCAGGCTCACTGCTCAGAGAGACCTGGGGGAGGGGCACTGAACTCTCGGCCCTGGGCACCTCCCCCACCCCAGCTCCACTGCGCTGTTCCCGGCCTCGGCTCCCTCCTTGTCCAGCCCAGCTGTCGGCTTCTGCCTTCCCCGGGTCTCGCTGACCTGTGACCCTTGACCCGCATGGCAGAGGCCTGGGCAGGCACTGGGCATGGCAGCTTTCACCTTCTCGACGCCCGCAGCCCCCGACCGGGTCCTGCTGCTGGACGGAGACCTGGCCCACAGGCACCTGCAGCCTCAAAGTCCACGGCCCCTTCCCCGCTCCAGTCCCACCCCAGTCACTGCCCCAGGCCGCGATGCTTGGCTGCTCCTCCCCAGGGCAGAGCTGGCCCCCCCCTTGTTCGAAGCAAGGGCGGCCCCCGTGGCCTCTGGTGGCTGCCAGGATCCACCGTGGGCTGGGCAGTGGGTGTGCTATGCCTCGAGTGTGGCCACGCCCACCTGTGCCACATGGTCCCCAGCGGCGCAGCTGCCATCCTGGCCTCCTCCTTCCCTTCCTGTGCCTAAGGTCCTGCCGGGCCACCCTGGGGCTGCCCTCACTCTGTCCACCTTTGCTGTCGCCCAGCTGCTCTGAGCAGACACAGGGGCTCTCACTGGGCACCACAGGCGGGGCCTGGGCAGGGCAGGAGGGGCACCCATGGGGAGGGCATGGACAGGCTGGTGGCCCCCAGTGAGCCCCCCAACCCCCAACAGTCACAGGCTGGGGGGAGTAGGGGACTTGGAGTTCTCCTCCTGGCCACCAGGGGGCAGCAGGCCCCTGGGTTTGAGTGGCTGCACCGCTGGCTGTGGAGCCCAGCT